ATATATACATGTATCAATATGTATACCTTAAATTTACACAATATTATATGTCAAATATATTTCGATTTTAAAAAACCACAACAGTTGACAAGAAAGGAAATATAACATAGAATGTACATGAAATATTATTTATAATAGTTTATTACATTACATATGTTGGGAAAAGGGGTGAAGGGAATGGGGCTAGAAACTAAGAAAGTATCATAGCAGGATGTCCATAAATAATATATCTAAAATTAAGATATCAAGAAATAGCAGTACAAGTATGTTTTTAAATGAAAGCTTCAGAAGAAATGGCTAAAAGTGTATTGATTCAGCCCTGTCTGATGTGGCTCCATGGATTGAGCACCGGCCTGTGAATCAAAAGGGTAACTTGTTCGATTCCCAGTTAGGGCGCATACTTGAGTTGAGGGCCAGGCCCCCAGTAGGGGGCGCATGAGAGACAACCACACACATTGATAGTTCTCTCTCTCTTTCTCCCTACCTTCCCCTGTGTAAAAATAAATAAATAAAGCCCTGGCTGGTATAGCTCAGTGGAGTGAGCACAGGCTGTGAACCAAAGGGTCGTAGGTTTGATTCCCAGTCAGGTCATACGCCTGGGTTGCAGGCCAGGTCCCCAGTGGGGGGTGCACAAGAGGCAACCACATATTGACATTTCTCTCCCTCTCTTTCTCCTTCCCTTTTCGTGTTTAAAAATAAATAAAATCTAAAAAAAAAAAAATAGATGAGATGTTAAGATAGTTTCAGAAATAAATAAAGAAATAAAATCTGACTTCCGGCCAAAATGGAAGCGAAGGTGGAAACACTGTGCCTCCTCGCACAACCAAGTTTAAAGACAACAAAGTTTTAGTAACAAAAATGCAACCAAAATGCAGAAAATTGAACTGTACAGAAGTCCGACAACAACAAACCATTCATCCAGACCGGTAAGAGGAGTGGAGTCAGCGGCTGGTGGAGAGGGGTCTGGTGGGAAAAAGTGGTCAGACTGACCCTGAAGTGCAGGCAGCGGTTGGCAGATCCCAGGCGTGGGGATGGCAACTGCAGACCCAGTAAAGGCACAAGGTGGCTGGCTCACTGCGGTCACACATTCACGTGCAGATAAACCAGGCGAAGGAGCGAGCAGTGAGACAGACCATGCAAACTAGGGCCCCAGCAACGGGAATCAAAGCCTAAAAGCACCAATTGAAAAAACTTTCAGGGTTGAGGTGCCAGTAGAGGCTCCCAGGCTCATAGAGAGTTTGTTGGAGAGACCCACAGGGTCCTGGAGGGTGCACAGACCCACACACCCAGGAGCTGGCACCAGGGCAGACAGGTTTGCTTGAGGGAAGTAGCAGAGGGGACTGAAATCCAAGAGAGAGCGGAACAAATGCCATTGCCCCTCTCTGACCCTGCTTCCACATACAGCATCACAACCCAGCAACCCAGGCAGCCCTGCCCTGGTGAACACCTAAGGCTCCGCCCCTCATATGTAACAGGAGCAAACAGACCAAAATGTTATGGCTCAAGAAGAAGAACAGCTCAAAGCCCCAGAGCCAATACTTCTAAGTGACCAAGAGATAGCCTATCTATCAGATGCACAATTCAATGATCAGGATGCTCACAGAACCAGTTGATTTTAGTCACAAATTAGAGGAACATATGAAGGCTAAACTAATTGAAATGAAGGGAAATGCACAGGAAACCAATAGTGATGGAAAGGAAACTGGGACTCAAATCAAGGCAGTGGACCAGAAGGAAGAAAAAAACAACCAAACAGAAAAGAATGAAGAAACAAGAATTCAAAAAAATGAGGAGAGGCTTAGGAACCTTCAGGACATCTTTAAACGCTCCAACATCCAAATTATAGGGGTACCAGAAGGGAAAGAGGAACAGCCATGAGTGGAAAACTTATTTGAACAAATAATAAAGGAGAACTTCCCCAATCTGGCAAAGGAAATAGACTTCCAGGAAGTCCAGGAAGCTCAGAGAGTCCCAAAGAAGGTGGACCCAAGAAGGAACACACCAAGGCACATCATCATTACATTAGCCAAGATTAAAATGAAGGAGAGAATCCCAGAAGCAGCAAGAGATAAGGGGACAGTCACCTACAAAAGAGGTCCCATCAGACTAACAACTGATTTCTCAAAAGAGACCTTATAGGCAAGAAGGGGCTGGAAAGAAGTATTCCAAGTCATAAAATCCAAAGACCTACATCCAAGATTGGTCTATTCAGCAAAGCTCTCATTTAGAATGGAAGAGCAGATAAAGTGCTTTTCAGATAAGGTCAAATTCAAGGAGTTCATCATCACCAAGCCCTTGTTAAAGGAACTTATCTAAGAAAAAGAAGACAAAAAATATGAACAGTGAAAGGACAGCAAACTCACAGTTATTAACAACCACACCTAAAACGAAAGCAATCTAAGAGGACAGCTAGATCAGGAGCAGAACCATAGAAATGAAGATCTCATGGAGGGTTAGCAACAGGGGAGTGGGAGGAGAAGTAGGGGGGAGAAGGTACAGAGAATAAGTAGCATAGATGGTAGGTAGAAAATAGATAGGGGAGAGGGCAAGAATAGTATGGGAAATATAGAATCTAAAGAACTTGAGACACGTGGTCATAAACTAAAGGGGGGGCGAATGGTACGGGAGGGGTGTGCAGGGTGGAGGGGAATGAAGGGGGGAACAGGACAACTGTAATGGCATAAACAATAAAATATATTTAAAAAAGAAATAAAATCTTTTTTAAAAAGTGTATTGATTCAGTTTGTGAAGGTGAAAAAGTTCTGAAAAGGGATGGTGCTGATGGTTGCACAACAATGTGAACGTACTTAATACCACTGAACTGTACACTTAAAATGGTAACTTTTATGTTATGTATTACCACAATTTTTAAAAGAATAAAGTGCTGCCTTGAGCAGGTAGCTCAGTTGGTTGGAGTGTCGTTCTATACACTAAAAGTTTGTGGGTTTGATTCCAGTGAGCGCACATACCTAGGTTGTGGTTCTATCCCCTCTCAGGACGTATACGGGAGGCAATCAATGGATGTTTCTTTTTCACACAGATTTTTTTTTCTTTCTCCCTCCCTCTCTCTTTCTCAAATCAATTGTCTGGTAAGGATTAAAAAAAAAAAGGAATGAAGTGCTAATACATGCTACAACACAGATGAACCACACTATATTAAGTGAAAGGAGCCAGACACGAAAGGACAAATACTGTATGATTCCATTTATATGAGGAACCAGGACAGGCAAATTGAGAGACAGAAAAATGAGAAGTTACCAGGGGGTGGGGTAGAGGGGAATAGCAAGTGACTGCTTAATGAGTTCTGGGTTTCGTTTTTTTTTTTTAAGATTGTATTTATTTACTTTTAGAGAAAATAGAAAGAGGGAGAAAGAGAAACATCAGTATGTGAGAGATATGATTGGTTGCCTCTCTCACGCTCCCAACCAGGGACCTGGCCCACAACCCAGGCATGTGCCCTGACTGGGAATCGAAACAGCAACCTTTCTGTTTGCAAGCTGATGCTCAAGCCACTGAGCCACACCAGCCAGGGGTAGGTTTCCTTTAGTGATGATGAAAACATTTTGGAAATAGTGGTGATGGTTGCACAACAATGTTAATGTAATTAATGCCACTGAATTGTTAATATAAAAATGGTTAAAATGGCAAATTATATATCATATTTTCTACCACAACCTGAAAATCAATAATGTAATATACCAAAAAACATTGAACTGTACACTTTAAATGGGTGAACTGTATGACTGAATTACTTCTTAAAGCTTTTAGACAAAATTGTACACAAATGTTCAAAGCAGCACTAGACAAAAGGTAGAGACCACTTAAATGTCCATCTCCATCAAGTGATGGATAAACAAAATATGGTATATCCACACAGTGGATACTATTCATATATTATTTAGCCATAAGAAGGAATGAAGTACTGACACCTGGTACATGGTACATGAAAACACTATGCTAAAGACAGAAGCCAGACAGTAAAGGCCATATAATGCATTGAGAAAAAGCAAATCCATGGAGACAGAAAGCAAATTAGTAGTGAAAACACCACTGAATTGTGTTTAAAATGGCTGATATCTAATGATTTATGTGATTTGTATTTTACCACAATAAAAACAGTGCGTATTGACGCCGCCTGGTGTGGCTCAGTGGATTTAGTGTCGGCCTGAGAACTAAAGGGTTATCGGTTCCCAGTCAGGACACATGCCTGGGTTGCAGGTCAGGTCCTCAGTAGGGGGCGTGCGAGGCAACCACAATATGGTGTTTCTCTCCCTCTCGCCCTCCCTTCCCCTCTCTAAAAATACATAAATAAAATCTTTAAAAAAACGTGTCTGGACTGGGAAATGTGCATAAGGAAACATTCAGGGGTGACATCAATGTCCTATACCTTGTTTGGGGTGATGGTTAATACGGTGGTATATATTTGTCCAAACTTGGCGAATTTTACACTGAAGATCGGTGCATTTTACTCTATGTACAATATCACTCAAAAGAATAAAAAGGGTTAAAAGTAGTTTCCTCTAGCGAACAGGGGAAAAGGGTAGAGGGACTGCTTTTACATAACTTTTATATCACTTTTTGAAAACCATATACATTAACTAATTTGGAAAATATGTAATGAAAAATTCCCCATTACAGTTCTAACCTCACCAACCACATTTCTTCGCCAGCTGCTCCAGTCCATTGGCTGAGTGAACCAAATCATGGGTGCAAGGAGTCGGTCGGGCTCCGCAGCTGCAGTCGCAACTGTAAACGCGAACAAGCTTTTCGCGTAGAACAAGCTTTCTACCTCGGCTGTCTCCAGAGTTTGGCCACAGCGTGAGCTTCTTCCCGCAGGGTCTGAGGACCGGATTCCACCCTCCAGAGGCATGGAAGTAAGACTTTTGGAAACACAATTTTAGACTCTACAAATGCCAAGGTTCTCCTCCATCGGCTCCAGAGCCAGCCAACCGAGAGTTGGAGACACGGGCGCCTTTTCCAATGCCCCGCCAGTCCCGAGCCCCCGCTTCCTCTGCTAGGGGCCAATCATCGGTTGCTTTGCTGTGCGGGCTAGGAAGGCGCTGGAAGCTGCCGGCCCGTCCATCTTTCTTGAAGGCAAGAAGGCTCCCCACAACCTCCCCTCGGTTTTGTCTTCCCTCTAAAAACCCACCTGCAGCGGCCATCTTATTTGAGGGCAAGTGGAAGATGAGACCAGAGAAGCCAGACGGGCGCCATGTTTGATATGATCGAGGGACGGCGCCCTTAAGAGCAATCCTTGACAACTGAACCCAGGATGTCGCCATATTTTCTGAAGGCACCTTCCGGGTCCCTCAACCAGGGTGTCTATGGCCAAGCTGCCAAGAAATGAATAAACACCGCGGGGGTTGGTTTGCCCCTATGAGAATCCCTGAATCCCTAGCAGATAGCCCCTGCTACTTCTGTACCCTGGGCTGCGTTGGGACGCCAAGGCTGGGAGGGGCCGTGGCCTGGGGAGCCGTTCCTGCGGACACGAAGAAAGCTGATCCCGATCCGGGAGCAGGGAGGCGGTGGCCCTGGGGACAAGGCCACAGCTCGGGGCTGTAAGGCCCCATGGCGCCGCCCCCAGCCCTGCTCCAGGCGCTCAGAGCTGGGGAGACCCAGCCTGATTGCAAGAAGCCCGGGTCCGTGAGCTTCGCGGACGTGGCCGTGTACTTCTCCCGGGAGGAGTGGGGGTGTCTGCGGCCCGCGCAGAGAGCCCTGTACCGGGATGTGATGCGGGAGACCTACGGCCACCTGGGCGTGCTCGGTGAGGCCCGGGTCAGAGCGCCCCCTCCTCCTTCACTGGGATTCACAAAGGAGATGAGATAGAGGGATTTGGAGGAGTGAGTGCCCTAATCCCGAATTATTCCACAAACAGCACCAGCCACCTCCTATTCCCAGGGCTTCAGGTACCCCTTTGGAACTTCTTCCAACCCGAATCCACTTCCTTCAGGCAGAGAGCACTGAGACTGTATCTATATTGAACATAAATTCTGAGGAAGTGCCCTCACCCTGGCAGGGGGATGTCTTCCCAGGACAGCCTTTCAGGCTAGTACTATGATCCCTGTTCTCTCCCAGGATTCCCAGGCCCTAAACCAGATCTCATCTCTTGGATGGAACAAGAGAGTGAGGCTTGGAGCACCGCCGCCCAGGATCCTGAGGAGGGGGAAAGCGTGGGAGGAGCTCTGAGAGGTGAGGGATTGTCCCAAGTCTACCTGTGCCTGGCACCCCAGGGCTTCCTGTCTAGCAAAAAATATATATATATATATATATATTTCAGATCCCCACTTTCAGGATCCCTAAAGGAATGAAAAAGCCACCCAATGTTGGATCATGGTGGAAAGGGGGCCAACCTGGTACAGTTTTCAGAACTTGAAACAGTCCTCATGTTGAGACCAGAGTAGGAAAATCAGAAGCTCAAGTCCAAACTCAGGTTTCCAGGTCCCTGTGGTAGAAAACACTCATTCTCCCTATTTAAGGAACGACTAAAACACCCTAAAATAGATATGACTTCAGATCTGCCTTTCACATTCCTCAAGCAAAGCAAATTAATACATCAGAAAATGCCCAGTCATGGACAACTTGGCTCTTCTCTCTTCATCATTCCCCAGCACAGTGATCTCCAGTGTATAGGTTTCCTTCTCTGTAAACACCTTATCCCACAGAAAATTAAAAAAACAAAAACACAGTACTAGCTACTGTTTATTGAGCACTCACTAAATGCTTAACATATTTCTACTGATTTAATCCTTCCAACAACCCTGTAAAGAAATCATTATGATTCCCATTTGATATATGAGAAACCAGATAATTCACTCTGAAGAGATTTGAACTTGTTTCCTGTCCTTCAAAGCCTATGTGTTAGTCACTAGGCAGTACTTTTCCAGCACTTCTTAAGTAAAAGTAACCTATAACTTGAGACGATCTAAACAAATGTGTTTTAAAATATATCTTGATTCCTGTTTCCCAGGCAACTCCCCAAACAAGAAGGAAGAGGAACTGGAAGAACTACCAGGAGCCAAGGGACCCAGAAAGACTCCTAGGAAGGGTAGGCCTGAGGAGCTGGTTAAACATAACCCTGACTCAGCCCTGAGCGAGACCTCTGCAAGACCACAGCCACCCACGAAAACGGCCTGGGACCAGAGCACAGTTGCACAGACCCCAGTTCCAGTACCCAGCGTGAGCTCTCAAGCCAGCCAGCGGCGCCATGTATGTGCAGACTGTGGTCGCCGCTTCACTTACCCATCGCTACTGGTCAGCCACCGGCGCATGCACTCCGGTGAGCGGCCCTTCCCTTGTCCGGAGTGTGGCATGCGCTTCAAAAGGAAGTTCGCAGTAGAAGCGCACCAGTGGATCCACCGCTCCTGCTCTGGGGGCCGGCGGGGCCGGAGACCTGGAATCCGGGCTGTGCCTCGAGCCCCTGTTAGGGGTGACCGGGACCCACCTGTGCTATTCAGGCACTACCCGGACATCTTCGAAGAGTGCGGGTGAGTGGCTCCCACGTGTGGGTTTGAGCCTGACCTCTGTGATAAGGACTGACTGGGCCCTGAAGGAGGCTCCTAAATCAGAAACTCGGGAACCTAAGTCATTCCTTAGGCTTCCCTGAAGTTTTCAAACATGTAAAAAGGAAAGTGCCTGTAAAGATTCAAATAGATTAAATTTGACCCTTCCCCTCTCCAGTCTTTCTAAAAAAAAAAAAAATGAAGAGAGTGAGACGCTAGACTTTTTCTCAGTGTTATTTCAGTAGCAGGTGCCACCAAGCTCTTTCCACTGTCTCAAAAAACCTCCCCTTGCTGCCTATCTACATGAGAAGTAAATGCTGAGGAGTGCTAAGGTTTGGGGAAGGGGCCCAGATGAAGGGCACGGCCAGGCCCTAGCTGACACCAGCATGTAGTCCGGGAAGTGGAGTGGGTGGAGAGAGCACAGAATCCCCAGCACAGATCTAGTCTTTACACAAGGCACAGCTGGTCAATTACTCACCCTCCTCAGCCTCACTCCCTCATCTGTAAAATGAGGATGACTAGTATCTACCTCAAAGGAAAGGGTTACTATGACGACTGAAATTTTAACAAGACAGCATGTATGATATAGCAAATGTGCAATAAACATGTGTTGAAAGAATGAATTATCTGCAGTTTACGCTTCAGAAAGGCTAAGGAGGCAGGGTGTGGATATCAATTATCTATAGCCATGTTCTGCAGATGAGTAAACCAAGGCTCAGAAAGACAAACTGATTTTTTCAATATGTCACTGCTTTAAAGCAGCAAAGCTGGACACTGACAGAGTCCAGATATTTCCACCACATTCTCTGAGCAGTCATATCTGGGCAGAACATGATCAGCGTCTCAAGTGAGAGTGAGGTAAGAGCTGAGACCTGGGCAGGAAAGCAGCAGGACAGCAAACAATGGCAACTACAAGAAGGTTTTTTCGGTCCTTAGTTTCCAGTCACAGTGGCCTCCCCTTGGGGCTAGAGGTGGCTCCTCAGGATGCAGGGCCCAACCCTACCTGTCTGGGGGAGTCTCAGCAGGAAAACAGAGCCCCACCAAAGCCAGTAATCTTTTTTTATAAATTATTCTATTTATTTATTTTTAGAGCGAGGGGACTGGAAGGAGAGAGTGGGAGAGAAACATCAGTGTGTGGTTGCCTCTTATGTGTCCCCTACTGGGGACCTGGCCTGCAACCCAGGCATGTGCCCTGACTGGGAATCGAACCGGTGACCCTTTGCTTCACAGGCTTGCGCTCAATCCACTGAGCTACACCAGCCAGGGCCAAAGCCAGTGATTTTTTGCTAAGAAAAGTAGAGCCCAAGCTGGGTTATTCAGTTGGTTGGAGCACCATTCCATATACCTAAAGGCTGTGGGTTTGATTCCCCGTCAGGGCACATATCTAAGTTTTGGGTTTGATCCCTGGTCAAGGTGTGTATGGGGAGGCAACTGATCAATGTTTCTCTCTCACATCAATGTTTCTCTGTCTCTTCCTCTCTCTCTAAAATCAATAAACATGTCCTCTGATAAGGATTAAAAGAAAGAAAAAGGAAAAAAAGTACATACAATATTCAGTGACCTTCTATTGGAGGGACAGCTAGGTGATAAGGGAATTCTGGGGCTCGGAAAGGCTGACTCCATTCTGTCATTCATCAAACAATATCTGAGGCCTCTAGGTTTGTGTGCTGGGCCCCAGCGCACCCTGACTCAGAAGAGAGTGACTGGGGCTGTGATGAAAGGTGTGTAGAGGCACCCGCCTAACCCACCTGGTTGGCGATAAACCAGGAAATGCACCTTGGAGGAGAGGTGCACCTCCCACAGCATTAGGTAGTTGGTGTGTGGGAGATTTTCAGGCAAAGGGAGCAGCCTTGTTTCATAAAAAGGATAAAAAAAATGGACACAGCGTGGAGTAGAGGTAAGACCATGGTCTCTGGAGGCAGATTGTCTGGGTTCGGGTCCCGACTCACTTGCTTTTTAGCTATGCAATCTTGGGCAAGTCACTTCTTACCTTAGTTTACCTATAAAACCTGGATGATAATAGCACCTACCTCATAAAGTTGCTGTAAGGATTAAATGAGATAATATAGAAGAGTACCTTGCATGTTAGTATTTAATAAACAGTGATTATTGTTATTCTAGTCAACATATAATAGTATGTGAAGAGGACCAAGAGGGGACCTAGGCAGGTCTTCTGAAACAAGGTTTCCTGGAGGAAGTAGTTCAAATTGGCCTTGAAGAATGAGAAAGATTTCAACCAAGATAGGCATGCATACGACATGGTAGTACTTCTACCTGACTGAAACATAAAGAGCTAGGTAACATGATGGAAGACAGCAGCAGAGAGGTGCATGCCAAACGGGAAGGGCCACAGGTTCCAGCAGAGGAGCTTAAGCTTTACCCCACAGGCACCGTAGGTATGCAGAATTCTTGAGCAGGAGCAGGGCTGTTTGAGAGGTACTGTCAGACGGTGTCTTTGTAAACAGTGTGCAGTGTGCCCTGTGGAAGGAGACTGGACATCTGCGCCCAAATAGAACTGATCAGGAGCTGGGACCAAGCTAAAGAGCAAGACGTTTTCTTGCAGTTGTTCTTGCTTCCTGACCTTGGAGTTGAGAAGAAAGACACCCATAAGAGGTTTCTGCCATGGAATCTGCATGGCTCAGTGACTGACAATATGATCTGTGAACAAGTAAGTCCCAGAGGTTTGAAGCATGGAGAATAGAGAGCTGGAGCAAGGGAGCCTGACTGCTAGGCAAGGGGCAGTCAGGAGTGGGAGGGTGTGAAGGCCAAGGAGTGACCAGGACTGGAGAGGGGTGAGTCAAAGCAATGAGAAGGTAGAGCTGGAGAGAGGAGGTGCCACCAGGAAATGGGGAACATAACAAAATGTATCATTTTAAATATTTTTAGGGGTATGGTTTAGGGGCATTACGTACATTCACACTATTGTACAACCATCACCACCATTCCTCTCCAGAACTTTTTCATCTTCTCCAACTGAAACTTTGTACCCATTAAACAACAACACTCTATGCTCCCTTTCCCCAGCCCCTGGCTACCACTGTTTTACTATCTGTCTGTATTTCACTACTTTGGATACTTCATATAAACCATTGGGGGGAGGGTGGTTTAAGCAGTGTCAAGATAATCTGATTCACATTTATTTATTTATTTATTTAAAAAACCCACTCCGACTGTTCTGAGAATGGACTGCAGGGTGGAGATACAGAGTAGTACCACCAGAGGTAAACACTGAAAGATGAATGGACAGAGCCTGTCTGTGAGCTGGATGTGGTGGCTAAGAGCATCAGAGGAGCCCAGAACAATAATAAGGTTTTTGAATGAGTGGGAAAGATGGAGGAGCCAGTTCCTGGGGTGGCCCTGGGGGTGATGGCAGGGTGGACCACAGCATTTTAAAGCTGTAAGGAAGCTCTTGGAGTTGTCTAGTTCTACATTTTAAGAAGGGTTTGGGAAGCAGAGGGTGAAATGGGTTTCTTTGTTGATGGGACTCTTTAAGGGGCATAGGGAAGAATGCTTGTCTTTCCACCAAGCATCTCATGGGGAATGTTGGTCTATCCACAGAATAGGCTCTGAGAAAAGCTGAGGCCCAGAGAAGGGAAGGTACTTAAGATCACAGCTGAGTTAGTGGCAGAGGTAGGCATGGAACCCAAACCTCCCAATTTCTCAGCTGATACTCTTCCTCTTTTCACTAGACCAGGCTGCAATGCTGGATGGATGGGAAAGGCAAAAGGCCGGAGGCCCGGAGACCAGCTGGGAGACCCCAGGTCTAAACCAACAAGGGTCTGAGCAAGAGGAGCCTGCTGATGAGAGCCGCTGTCTTAGTGAAGCTTCTCACCCTTGCTCCAGGGCAATTTCATATACCTCCCAAACACTGAATGACATTTTGCCCCCATGACATGATCCCTAAACATAACCCTTATGTTTACTTTTCACTATTTATCATATCATAGCCCACCATTTAAACTTTTTCTCTTTACATTTATATAACAGTATAGAATTGTATGTGTGACCAGAAGCGGCTCTTCTGATCTCCTAGGTCCCTGCTTCTTGCACTACCTCACAATACAACTGCATCTTGGTAACCCGGCCTAAAATCCACCTCTCTTTGGTTGCTGAGACTGTGCCTTCAGTAATTTGAGGCAATACGGCATGCAGTTGCATGGTGTCAGGTTGCCTGGCTTTGAATCCTGTCTTAACCACTTACCACCTGGGGCAAGGTCATCCATTTGTGCCTCAGCCTGCTTATCCAGAAAGGTACCCATCTCTGAAGTGTTGTGAGGGTTAACTGAGTTAACAAGCAAAAGCACTTAGTCTGGAATACAGTAAGTGATATATCAAGGTAAGGGAAGATTATTAGTGTTAGTCATAGCACAAAACCAATTGCAGCTCTTGCATAGTCTGCCATTATTCTGTTTAGGAGAACTTAGAATTGGGAAATCAGGGGGCACATTTAAAGAGAGCATCAAAACAATGAGCCATGTCATCTGTTATCGCATCTAGTTAAAGAAAAATATTTTTATTTATTTTTAGAGAGAGGGGAAGAGAGGGAGAAAGAGGCAGAGGGAAACACTGATGTGAGAAGCACTGATATGTTGCCTGTCAGTTGAGCCCTGACTAGGGATGCAACCCAGGCATGTGTCCTGACGGGAACTGAACCAGCTCCCTTTCACTTTGCCAGACAATGCCCTGAGCCACACAGGTCAGGGCTCATCTCATTTTTTACGCAGTCATAACATAATAAATTAAGAATCCAATTCATTTCACAAGGTTAGCAGGGGTCAGTAAATTCAAAATTATCATGTTGCTTTTCTGAAACAGGCCTGGAGGAGGCAGGGCGAGGTGGGGGAAAAGGCTCCGATTTAGGAGTCTGAAGACCCAAGTCACTACTGGGCTGCCTGAACTTGGGTAACAACTGGGCCGTAGTTTCCTCATCTGTGAAATGAATGAACTCTAAGGCAGAGAGGCTGATTCACCCTAGTGTCCTCAATTAAAGACATAGTAAATGTTGGAAATACCAGATATAGATGATAGATAGATAGATAGATAGATAGATAGATAGATAGATAGATACATACATACATACATACATACTTAAACACAATCTCTGGAGGGATATTTAGGAAACTGTTAAGACAGGAACAGGATACCTTGTAAATGAAAAAGAAATTTAGAAATGAACTGCTTTATCAAAAAACATTCTTTTATTAAGGTAGGTCACTGAGTGGGCCTTTTAGAGGAGATTAGTTAGTGCACGTCTGGCCAGAGCCCCCCGAAAGCTAGACCTGGTTCCCCCTGGGCTAGAACTCCTTGCCACCCGCCGTGCTCACGCACCCCAGCCTCACTTTTCAGCTGCCAGACGTCAGTCGCCGAAGTGGTTGCGGCCATCTTAACTATGGGCAAGGGCGATTCCAAAGCCGCTTGGGGGAATAGCAAGAGAAGAAACTCGAGGGGGTTAATAAACCTGGACGTCAACACCAGACCAACACTGAAATTGTTTAAATGCCGTTCTCTAAAAATAGAAGACGCTAGAATACCGCCATCTTGTCTGAGGGCGCCTTTATTTTCTCGGTCCTGGGACCACCGAGTTCGGGTACCTAGTTCTCGCGTCCTAGAGCGGCCTCACCCGGAGTTAGTTCCGGTCTCCTGGGTCCAGTGGACCTTGGTTCCTAGAGGCGGAATCCCTAGCAGCATCACTCCTTGGATCCGGGCAGGGTATGGCATTATCCCGGTTCCTGCTCCTAGCTTCCAGCAGAGGTGCCCGCGAAGGCCGGCCGGAAGAAGATGATTTGGGGGTGAAGAGGCAGGCACCACGAGCTTTGTGGAGGTGGCCGTGTATTTCTTCCCGGAGGAGTGGGATTGTGTGGGGCGTGATGTGGAAGACCTAGGGGTACCTGGGCGTGCTCCGTGAGGGCCGTTCTTCCCTGATCTTTGAAAAGAGAAGGGGGCTGGTGGGATGGGCAGGACCAAGTGCCTGATTCGCCCTTACTGCTGCACCTGGTGACTCCGTTTCATGTGATTCCCGCTAGATCACCCTAACTGAAATTCATAACTGAGCCTCCCCCCCGACAGACTCCCCCACTGGCTCTCCAGTACTTCCTGCAAAAATGTAAGCTCCCGTGCCACAACGTGAAGGCCCATGGCACGCTAACCTCCAGTTCAAACCAGATCTTTCTCTCCCTGCAGGCAAGCAATCCCATTTGGCCCCAGCTAAATGGGATCTTCGGTTTTTCTACATGCCTCTAGCTCAGTGAGCTTGTATACTTGCTGTTCTGCTCTGTATACACTATATCTTCAAATCTAACATTCTTCAATGCCCTTCTTAAATGCTGTCTCCAAGAAATTCCTCTTGGAGTTCCTTCTGTCCCCTGCTGAAAATAGCCACAAAGCTGGGGCTCTGTCTATATAGACCTGAGCACAGTCTACCCAAAGGTCTCCATACCTCTGTCAGCAGAGCTTATACCTGTTATCTTTCTCCCTAGTGCAAATGTAGAGTTTAGTGTAAATTTAGAGCAGGAACGTTAGCTTGGTTCACCAGTGCCTTCGACATTTAGAATATGGAAAGATGGAAAGGTGAGAAGTGGGGGCAATGTCCCAATTCCAGCTGGAAGGGAAAATGTTTTGTTGAGCAAGAACCATCATATACATGTTCCTTATTAGTTTTTCTTGGTCTGAATTTACGACACCCACTGGAGGCTGAAATCTTAACCCTCTCATTCTCAACTGACTTTGAGGCATCCAGTGTTCCCACGATCAAGTCATGCTGTATGAATCATCCAAACTCTAGGTCCGTGGCAGCATGTGAATTCAAGTTCAGAATGGAGGCACTTCACTTTTTTGTCTCCAGGTCCCTGAGCCCTGTAACCATTGTTCCTCTGGTTGAGGGTATCTTTTCTAGTTGATTCTGAGGTAGTTGGGAATGTACCTGACTCATGAGCCCTTTAACTGGTCAACACAGTTTAGGGGGAGCTTCCGGGGGCTAGGTACCCACCTCAATGCTTCTGCCATTGTAAAGGTTGATTCTGTCACTCAAACATTGGTAGACATGGGAGAATTAACAAGGCAAGTTTTGAATCTGCTGCATCACAATAGCTGTTCAGCAAAACAATACATTTGGAAAGGGCCAGGTGAAGGAGTCTGTTTGGGAATCAATCATCATGAGCCCCTGGGGTCAGAAACACTGACCTGGCCCTGGCTGGGGTGGCTCAGTGGATTGAGTGCCCTGGCCTATGAACCAAAGAGTCACAGGTTTGATTCCCAGTCAGGGCACATGCCCTGGTTGCAGGGCAGGTCTCCAGTAGGGGTGCATGAGGGATAACCACACATTGATGTGTCTCTCTCTCTCCCCTTCTCTCTAAGATAAATAAATCTTAAAAAAACAAAACCGAACCACTGACCTCTTCCCTGAGCCTGTGGGCAAGGCTTCCCATAACCAGGCCCTTCCCATTGCTCTGCCTCCCCCACCTTCACCTAGTCTTTAACATCTGGCACTAATGCAGCACCCTCATCCGTGCCCCAAGTGCAGTCACGCTTTGCCATCACTTTTAACCTGGTCCAGTGTACTGTCTGGAAAGGGACACTTCCCAGCAAGTGTGGCACCCACCTCTGCCTCAGCTAGTACCTCTCATGCTACCTGCTGACTGACACAGGCAAGTGGCCCTACCTCTGTCCCTGCTGTGGAAAGTGCTTCAGCCAGAGGCCTACCAGGCTGGTACCACAGGCAAACCACCCTAGTTTATTCCCCAGGAGGGTTCAGACCCTCTGTGAGTTTCCAGAGCTACCCAGAGCTGTTCTAGGCTTGTGTGTCATAGGCACCGCAGTAAAGGGTGGGCCCTGACAGGTGACAAAATGCTGTTGCACTTAATGGAAATTTTCTGTTTTCTCTTGTGTCCTTTGGGGGCCCGAGAGGCTGACAGAGCTAGGGCCAAGGTTGAGTCCTTGGGCAACTCTGTGTCCTTACCCTTTCCAGATTTTTATCTTCTCTCCCCTTTCTACTGTGATCAACTATTTACTTTCAAGCTTCCCAGCTGTAGGGAGAAGCATCCACCAGATACAAGGTGTCAGGCTGAAGACTCGAGAAGGCCTTTGGAAGTGTTGGTGCCAAAATGGCACCAGGTGTTAGACCTCAGTTCCACAAACTCAGTACTTGAATTCTGGCTAAGAAATAATTCAGAGCCAAGACTCAAACTATAACAGAAAGTTTATTTAGAAAGTCACAGATGTAGAAGAAGAGAGCCGTAAAAAAAAATGGGCTCAGGAAACAAGTTACAGAGTCAAAAGAAGGGCCCTTGGAGCTTGGTGGGGTAGGGGGAGGTAGATAGATAGATAGATGATAGATAGATAGATAGATAGATAGATAGATAGATAGATAGATAGATAGATATGGGTGTACCTTGAGAGATGAGAAAGAGGAAGAAAGGGGAAAGGCACGTAGATGCTCCAGAAAAAGAAAGAGCACACACAAGGTCCCTGTCATAACATCTCAGGGAAGGCTCTCAACAGAGTATGCATCAGCTTTCCAGGTGTTCCCCATCAGGTTTGTGGTTTCCACTGAATGGTCGGTGCCAGGATGGGGTTGTTAGTCAATGCAGCAGACCCTAATGTCAGTTAGGGCAGTAGCTCAGTCTGATTTTGCTGCTTGTCTGGGCCTGGAGCTGAAATCCAGCTGAGGCCTAGATGTCATCTCCAGGGGTTAATGCTTAAGAGAGTAGTCCTCTACAAGGGCTTGTAGTTTTTGCCCATTGCTAGGCACCTGGGGCTCTTGTCCTGGTGACCCTCTGCACCTGGCCTATTATTCCTGCTCTGTTCATGTCTAACTACCTACTACTGAGGGAGGCAAACAGAAGAGTTTCAGACTAGAGCCTGAACCCATTGAAGGTATCAAGTGCATTTCCAAGAACTGCGTGAAACACTATGATTGATTTAGCTGGCCAAAGAAAAAGTATCAAGTCTTTTTAGAGTAGGGTATTTAGAAAGATGTGTGGGAGCACAGAGTAGGAAGTCAACAAATATGCCCAGTGAGAGAGGAAGGTTTGGAGTTATAAATGCCAGGGATTGCTGGTGCCATTTGCTGAGATAAACTCAGGAAGGGGCAGGTTGTGGGAAGGAAGCGATGAGTTCAGGTTGAGGTATGCCAAGTCTGAGGTGCTTGTGGGATATCCGTGCAGAGGCAAAGTGGTACGTGGTTCTCTGATCAAGAGGAGCTCAGGAGCCAGGCCTGAGCTAAAGGCAAATAGATGTTGGAGAGGCGACCTGCAGGACCTGTGGAGGGAGGGTGGGCTTTCATAAAGAGGTTCCTTCCGACCTTTCTCAGATTTTACACTTACTTTCTCCTAGCAGCCCCCACGATCTCCTGAAATAGAAGCTCCCAGAATTTCAGGCTCGGATAAGCTTCCGATAGAAAACGTTCTTTTTCCCTATTTTTTCTACCCTCAGCACTGGGGAAAACATTGCTTGTCACTCAGTGAGAGGCCAAGATCCAATAATGAACGCCACGAAAAATAACTCCCGAAGGCGGGGCGTGCCAGGTCCGGGCTGGGACAGCTGTGGCCCTCCACCAACCTCCAACCCTGCCTCGCCGGGTTGGTCCTCCAAACCTGGGCGGAGCCGCTGCCAGCCAATCGGCGCGGTGGGGCGGGGACCGGCGCGGGAAAAGGATGGCTCGGAGGGCCGAAGACGGGCAGGACGCCCGGCTCGGGCACAGGTAGCTGTCGCAGCCATTTTGATTGTGGGCTGGTGACCCAACAACCTGGAGACCCCGGGCTGACATCATTTGGGCAGAACTACGTAGGCTCCAGGTTCGTGAGGCCGTGTTGCCGCCATTTCTAAGGAAGACGTCTTCCAGTTCCGATTCTCCGTGTGCCTCCAGCAACGAACTTTTAGCTTTTAGCCTTTAGCCATTCGCGTGGTCCCTGGGGAAGCCTCTGCCTGCTTCCCCGGGTTTACTGACCGTGCCCCGTACGTCCGGCCCGCCGGCCGAGCAGGCGTTCCGAAGCACGTGAGGCCCGGCGGACCCAGGGGCAGCGCCGGCCTGTCGCCGGAGCAGGCACTTACCATGGCGCCGCCTTCGGCCCTGTTCTCAGCGCGGGAACCAGAGGGGACACTGCGCGAGGGGAGGAGCCCCGAGCACGTGAGCTTCGCGGACGTGGCCGTGTACTTCTCCCCGGAGGAGTGGGGCTGTCTGCGCCCGGTGCAGAGGGCCCTGTACCGGGACGTCATGCGGGAGACCTACGGCCACCTGGGCGCGCTCGGTGAGAGCCCCACTGTTCGCTTGGGTCCACATCCCCATCCACCCTGCCCAGCATTCGGGCTCTGCTCGGGGAGTGTGACTTCTTCGGTCCCGGACGTCGGGACCGCGGGGTGGGCGGTGGCCTCCCGGCAGCGTGGGGTTTGCGTTCTTCTCCGCCAGGATTCCAAGGCACCAAGCCGGCCCTCATCTCCTGGATGGAGGAAGAGGCTGAACTGTGGGGTTCAGATGCCCGAGATCCGGAGTTGGGAGAGTGTCTGTCAGAAGACCCAGGTGAAGTACTGGAGACCTCTGTCTCATGGGATCTTCCTCTGGGCGGCCTGACCAGACCTGCTACCCTCTGTCACTTCCTTACCCTGATTATCCGTTTCTTCCCTGATGTGCATTCCCAGCTAAGGTGATGATGCCTGGCCGCTGCTTACCTTCTGGATTAAGCAAAGGGGCTGTGAGTGTGTCCAGGCGGGGGTGCGGGTCCCTGGCATACCTGCCTTCACTCCCTGTTCCTGCAAATATGATTGGTCTCTAAGCTCTGTTGAGCTCCACGTCATCCCTCCAGTTTTGCCACGTCCTGTGCTTTGCCACGTCCTGTGTTTTTGTTTATTTATTTTCTGTTTATTTTTTATTTTACTTATTTTAGACAGAGGGAAAGAGAGGGAGAAAGAGGGAGAAACATCAGTGTGTGGTTGCCTCTCATGGCACCCCCTACTGGGGACCTGACTTGGTCAGCAACCTAGGCATGTGCCCTGACTGGGAATTGAACCAGTGACCCTTTGCTTTGGTTCACAGGCCAGTGCTCAATCCACTGAGCCACACCAGCCAGGGCTGTTTGTTTTTATTTTTGTAGCAGCTTCCTTTCTCTTGGCCTCTACTGTTTTCTTCTAGCAGTTCATCCTGGCAGTTTGTTGCACAATACCCAGCCCCTCTGAACTTGGTTCAGCCAGGTTCACATCCCTCTCTGGGCTGTTCCTGATGCTTGAAGCACCCTTAAGCATCTGATCCAGCTAAAATATCTTCTGCCTGTCCCCCAGCCATTTCCCCAGGCCTGAGGTAGAATGTACTGTTTCTTCCCGCTGCTGCTCCGCTGTCTCTGCTGCTTTTCTTTCTGTCCTCTGCAGCTGAGGAAGGGTTTCACTCCAAGCTTCCTTGCCTATATACTGAGCTGAGTCCCAGGGGCACCTGTGGGTCCAGAAGGTGGCTGTATATAAGAGGCTTCTCCATCACCATATAGGGCAGAGGTGTCAAACTCATTTTCACCAGGGGCCACATTGGCCTGACAGTTGCCTACAAAGGACCGAATGTAGTTTCAGCTCCTTAACAGTTAAGGAGTAGTTTCATTTATATGGTCCTAAAATTATTTCAGCCTTTTGAAGGCAACTGTGAGCCTGATGTGGCCCCTGGTGATAATGAGTTTGACAGCCCTGAAATAGGGTGTGGGATTGATTCAAGGACCAGGATAAATAAGCCAGGGTCTGAGCTGTCCCCTTATTTCCTAGCAGGTTCCATAAACAAGGAAGAGAAAGGACAAAGAGAAGGCACTGAGGCACTGGAGAAGATCCTTTCTATGAACACTTGGCCTCTTGGGCTGAAGCCTCTCAAACCCCCTTCTGCTGTGCTCCCTTACAGTGTGGAGCAATCAACCAAGGTGCCTCACCGGGGTCGCCCCCCACTCTTTGCCCATCCCCCTGTTCCGAGGGCGGACCAGCGTCATGGTTGCTATCTCTGTGAGAAGAGTTTTGCCTGGCGCTCCACATTGGTGGAGCACCTATACACCCACACGGGTGAGAAGCCCTTCTCTTGTCCTGACTGTGGCAAGGGCTTCGGCCAAGCCTCCTCTCTGAGCAAGCACCGGGCCATTCACCGTGGGGAGCGGCCCCACCGCTGCCCCAACTGTGGCCGGGCGTTCACCCAGCGCTCTGCCCTTACCACCCACCTACGGGTCCACACGGGTGAGAAGCCGTACCGCTGTGCTGACTGTGGCCACTGTTTCAGCCAGAGCTCTGCTCTCTACCAGCATCAGCGGGTCCACAGCGGCGAGACCCCCTTCCCCTGCCCAGACTGTGGCCGTGCCTTTGCCCATGCCTCAGACCTTCGGCGCCATGGGCGCACCCATACAGGCGAGAAGCCTTACCCGTGCCCAGACTGTGGGCGCTGCTTCCGACAGAGCTCTGAAATGGCAGCCCACCGGCGTACCCACAGTGGGGAACGCCCCTACCCCTGTCCTCAGTGTGGCAGGTGCTTTGCCCAGAAGTCAGCCATGGCCAAACACCAGTGGGTCCATAGGCCTGGTGCTGGGGGACGCAGGAGTCAGGGTGCCAGTGGGTTGCCTGTACCTCTGTCTCCTGGGCAAGGGAACCTAGACCCACCTGTGGACTTCCAGCACTACCCAGAGATATTCCAGGAGTGTGGGTGATGGCCTCAAAGGTGAAAAGAGAAAGGGTGAGGACCTAAACATGTCTTGAGGCTCAAGCTGGAATAGGTATTCAACTTCTGGGGGCTCCAGGGAGGTCATAGAATTCCTTGTAAGAGCTGGACCTGCGGGATGAGGACCATCTTATTTTAGGTTCTTACCAGCTTGAAATGCTGACACCTCATTCTCTACTGTCCTAGACTCCAGAAGTCCCCTTCACTGAATTAGGGCTGGGGTTAGAACCCTGAGTAGGCCTCTGCTGTAGGAAGAAAAGGCTGTTTGTCAGCTTAGATGTGTTAAGAGGATTGAGGTAGAAGAGAACCTTGTTTTACCTATTATCTATTTTTACTGCAGGAGTTAATAACTGATGGTCATGTATTGAATCTGGCCTATAGCTGTCTCTCTCTCTCTCTCTCTTTTTTTTTTTTTTTTTGGCTCAGTCAGAATTTTAAAAGGTTACAAATTACTGGTTAAGATCTCACACAAAAATCTAGGTTTCTGACTTCTGAGAAGTTCAAAAGATTTGGCAACTCTCTCTGAGCTCCCACAAAACCACAGTTGGTGGGAGCTGGGGGCAGTTGTCTGTCCCCTTTGCTCAGCGTGCTCACTACTCTGCATCAGCTGACCAGCGTCAGCTGACACTCATGGTCTGACCAGGTCTCTGGCAAAGCAGGCCTTCTTCATCTGGTAGTTTCCGCTCCTTTACAGGACCTGTTGGGATCCTGTGGTCATTGGAGTTTGCAAACCACAGCATATAGCTTTCCCAAATCAGGGATTCAGGTAGAGAGTATATATGTGAAAGAGTGGCAGGAATGAAGTAAAAGTAGGCTTTATTTTGGAGCTTCCTTGCATTGTATTGTTAACAAGGTACTGTCTTGACCATGATCTCATTTCACCCTCATAACTGCCTGAGGAGGGGAGCACCTTGGTTGGACAGGACAGCTCAGTTAGGAAGAGGCAGTCACACTGAATCTTTTTTCCCAAACCAGTGGCATCTCTGCTGTATCACAGCACTGCTCTCAGCTGGCCAGCAGTTCCTGGTTCTAAAGGGGAAGGCCCTGAGAGCACCCTCCAGCCCTCTGGGCCTCCGTGGGAGAGCCCTATGGCTCAGGCCTTACCCACCCTAGACCCAGCCAGCAGGGCCAACCTCATCACATTCTAGAACTGGAAGGGATCTGAACTTTTGCAGTTGGGGACACTGAAACTGGGGAAAACTAAGCAACCTGTCCAAGGTCACACACAGGGATGGTAAGGTTCTTGGTTTACTGCTCTCTTTACCACACCATTCCTGGATCTCTTGCCAGTGTCTCAGCCAGGGTTCTGGAGGCATCTTCCATTCCTGTGAGGGCTCCCAGGCACTGACCAGAACTGGGGACTGACCAGCCCAGGGTCAGTGAAGCCCAGGTGTAAGATAAGTGACAAAACAGCCACATGGCAGACCAAGGGAAGGCAGTAACCAACCTGAGAGTTAAGGGCAAATGAGCAAAGCTTGATCTTCACTCTCTTCAGGTACATCCATCGTGAACCAAGAGGAACTAGCCCAGGAACATTGGGATTAGTAGCCAGAGGGAACTGTACTCAGCTGTATTCCCAACCTCTGTACACATTCTTTCCCCTCTCACCGTGTGATTACATTATACAACTATCATGAATTCCTTTGTGGTTAGAGTCCAGCCGTGTCCAGGTGATGGAAGCAGCCAGCCCTGGGCAGACCCTGTCCTGCATCTGGTCAGGATGATTCTTGACTAAAGGAGGAGTAGCAGGGGATATGTCCCCTGCTTGCCTGTGTGCACTTGCCTTCTTTACTGAATTCAGCCTCTTGTCTGGCCTACCTTAGGGAGGAAGAAACCAGATTTGTCAACCTGGAGAAACTTCTAAAGAAAAAGGTAGAAGATTCGGGGAAAAGACACTGTTCAGGTGAAGTAATGAAATGAGTTGATTCCCCATCCTAAACCTTTCTGGGAGGATTGGCTTCTGTGCCACCTTATTATAAGTGGGACATGGTGAGAGGAGGTACATTGGTAGTAGGAACTACCTGTGTACCAGCTTTTAATTCCCTACAGAAGCCAGTGTACAACCCTCCCATCCTCTCACCCTCAGGACTGCCTGGGGAAAGCCCAGCTTGAAATGCTAGTTTTCAGCTCAGACTCAAAGCCAGATCTGGACCCTACCCTCAGTTTGCCAATTAAAGGTGCTATAATTACTACTTTCTCTGAGTGCTTTGAAGTTTGCAAGGCTTGCTTCGGGCCCAAACACCATACCTAACTTCTGCTTCCTGCCTTTATGACCCAACTTTCCACTAGTAAATCGCTTTTTGAGTGTCATGAAAATGTTTAAGCCTCGGCCTCCCAGCATTCTTAGCTCCTCATTTCTTGGCATGGATACGTCCACCAAAGGTGGGGTTCTCTCTCTGCTACTGCAGGTCTTTGAGGCTTAGAACCTAAAGCAACTTAGGCCAGGAAGAGAATTTTTCTAGGACTTCACTGGAGAAATGCTTGTCTGTACCAGACATGAGCCCATCCATATGGCCAGTATGAGAGGTCAGGCCATGACCGCATGACCCTAGTTTGTCCAAGCCAACTAAAATAAGGGTAAGTACTTGCTTGAATTGCAAAGATCTCTACAATTTTTAGAAATGTTTACGTGCACCTTTCTAGGAATAGGATTTGTAAAAATGTTTGTGATACAAAGAAGCTAAAACCTGTTCTAGGCCTGCAGTTTTCAAAGTAAAGCCTTCTGCCAAAGAATCACATACTATTTCTTGAAAATATGGCTAGCTCCCTGGGCCTTGTCTCTAGCTATTGAGTCTGGATCCAGGGATGGAATTTTATGCCTGCTAAACTTTGAGAACCACTGCTTTGAACAAAATGTTACTTTCTAGCTGCTCCTAGCTTTGTAAGAGTAAGGGTTGGTCTCAGGGCCTGTTCCAAATGTCAGGCCAGGGAAGGACCTAACCATACACAAAGACTCCCATTTCCTTTGCTCTTGACAAAGGGACCTGTGTCTGGTATCTTCCTGTGTATTTCCAATCTTGAATATACTGGCACATATCTTGTAGCATCTCTAAGAAGGCTTCTTAGCTTGTCCTTTGCATGCAGGGAGGAAGCAGTTCATTCAGGAGCTCCTCTCACACTGAGACCCTTATAAGGTCTTGTTCAAGTGTGGGCTGACCATAAGCCTTGGGTGCACACTAACAGCTCTGCCCCTGTAGTGCCGCACACCAGGGGATGATGCTGTGGGGAAAGTGACTGCCCAGCTTGGGACATATTCAAGGCTCCTCACCAGCACACAGGGGTAGAACAAGGTCAGTGCAGTCCTACCTTGGATTAGTTGGTGCTAGGTCAAGTTGGAACCCTCATCAGAGGCTTCCCTGTGCTTAAGAGACTCACGGCTCTGGGCTGGTGACAGTTGGTCTGGTTGCCTCTTGAAGGCTCATTGCATAGACAGAGGAGGCTGCCTCGAAGTCACTAGTGAGACTGAATTTCCACATGGAAATGATGGTACCAAAGCAGGTTGAAGCCCTGGCCCAACTTCTGCTACATGTGGGCTCATAATCTGTGCTGTGAAGAGTGCAGGCAGTGGACTCTCTCAGACCTGTGGTTGGAATCTTTGCCACCCACTTTGCAGAAGCAGCTGCTCTCCTGTGTAAATTTCTGGTGGGTAAGTGGGTCAGAAAGACTCATCTCTTCACTTGTGTGAGTGGTTTGGGGCTGACCAGGGGGTACGCCAAGTCCAGTTCTTCCAACCAGTTCTTGTAGGGTGTCCATTCTTAGCATAGGTTTTAGTACAGACATTGGGATGGAGAGAAGCATGAAGCTGGAAGCTTTTGCTGTGGTGGGCAGAGAAATACTTCTGCTTTATTTGTAGGAAGATCTCTGTGATTCTAATTGTAAGCGTCTATTGACATCATCCTTACATCTTTTACCACTTGGAATTCTTATGCTTGTCTCGAGACATTAAGGAGACATGGAAAATGCCATTTTCCTCTTAACCAGTTTCTTTCCTTCACTTATCTGGGAAGGCAGCAAGAAGACAAACCATGGCTCTGCATTGCTCATGCAGGAGAAATTTGGCTCTTATCAACAAAGCTACCAAACTAGTTTTCAGCAGCAAGGGACAAGAATTGGATCCAGTTGTCTCTCCAGGGTCCTTTCCCCTCCTTGATTCAAAGCTGCACCTAGGGCAGTGTTTCTCAAGTTTCCTTTCTTTACAATCCTCATTCTAAAGCGGACAGGGCTGGAGAGTTCTTAGCTGTCTTAAGACCCGATGGTTCTCTCCAGTGCCACTCCTGAACTTTATCACCCCACCCTTACCTGGAAGAAATTCCCACATGATCATTGCTTCCTGTGAGACAATTCAGGAACCATGAGCTAAGGCTTCCAAGGATTGAGTTAAACACAGGCTTTGGGGAATTGGAGGGAAGAGGCAGGGTAATTGAAAAGAAAGCAGCTTCCTTTCTGAGGAAGAAGCTCCCGACAAGCTTCTTCAGGAAAGTGCTGAGAAAGAGTGGGGGACTGTCTGCCCTTAGATTCTTAGGTTTTTATTCCTTAGAAAGTTAAAACAAAATGAAGGGTAAATGCGAGTGGGGAAAGTTCTGAAAGCACAGGCCCAGCTCAAGGGAAGACCAGGCAGAGGTCCCTCCAACTCCTCCTACAGAAGCTCCCTACGAGGAGGTGGAACCCTCCTGAGCACCTTCCAACGAATCACAAAGGTGCCTCGCGTTTCCTGGCAACCATTAACGTGCAGCCGCGGGTGTAGTAGGAGAAGGCCGGAAGGTAGGAGCACGAACTTCACTGGCCAATCACTAAGCACTTCAGGGGGAGGGGCGGTACCTTAGGAAATTGGGGGCGGGGCTGTTTCCTTGGCAACCATCCTAGCTCAGCCGGAGGTGGGGAGGGTAGAAATTAGGAGCAGATAAAGGAGGGAGCCAGGAGGTGTGGGGGTAGGCATGCCAGTGGGTGGGTAGTGGAATTCGAGCGGGAATTGGGAGAAGGGTGTCCCAGAGTCTCGTAGAGCTACAGGAAGGCGAGGGTCCGTCTAGGTTCCCCAGGGCGGCCGCAGTTGACCCCAAGGCCCGAGAGCTAAGAGGAATTCGACACCGCCCCCGCTGGCGCTGGGAAGCGTCGCTCCTCGCTGACCTTGTCTCGCCTGTCGTCTCGCCCTTGGCCACAGTTACAGACAGACGCAGAGCCCGGTAGAAGGACAGATAGGCCATTGGACAGATGGAGATCTAGGACACAGACACACAAACTGCCCCAGCCTCTCCAGCTGGCTCCAGGATACTTTGACCTCCCCCACCTCAACGCCGGGGCCGTCCAGCCCAGGGTTAATGCCAACGAGTTTCCACCTCCAGCCACTCCTAGAGAGGCTGCAGCTAGAGAGGCTGCAGCGCTAGCCAACGGGGGGAACTGGCCGCGGACGGACACTTCCTGTGTTGGGGGAGGGGGTTGACTGCTGCATCCCAGCCCTGGGCTGGGGGCCTGACGGCGGGGTCTCAGATGGGGAGTGGTGTCTGGGGACGGCAGGGCGAGTCGTGAAGCTGCCCCATCTCCGAGGCTACAACGAGTGGGGGCTTGTGAGGGCCCCAAGGCAAGCTGGGACCTTGTGAGTGGGGGAGGGGAGGGGCCCGGCCGGCAGGAGAGGCCCAGGGTCAAGACGTCCGGCCTTGGGGGCTGGGGCTAGGCGGCCGGGTCTCCTGGGTGACGCTGAGTGGGCCGGCGTCCAGGGCCTGGGTCTCAGGGCACTCAGGACGGGTCTCAGGATCGTCCGCCATTGCTGCCGCCACCACTGCACTGGGAGTCAGCGGGGATGGAACAGGAGGCGTCGCAGTGGGGCCTCGAGCCGCGGGATGTGCAAAATCTTGACGAAATGGGGTCCGAAGAGTCCCTCAAAGGTGAGGGAGGGAGTGCCCCTCCGAAGAGCGTGTCTGGGATCGGGAGATGGGGTGGTGGTCCGTGGGAGTGAAAGAGGGGGGGGGACTTGGACATCTGGGACTTGGAGGGGGTGGGGGGTGGGAACCGAGTCTCTTGGGTTTGCTGAGGGGAAGGTGGGAATTTCAGCACCTGCTCAAGGGCCAGCGACCATGTTTGAGGAGGAGGGAGAGGTTTGTGTCAACTAATGGTGGGACCCAGTGACCTTCCAGGCTCCACACAATCTGGGTTTTCTGTAATTCTCTGATCCTGCAGGCAACATGCATGAGAATAATGAGGAAGAGGAAATTTCTCAGCAAGAAGGCACTGGGGACTATGAGGTCGAAGAGATTCCTTTTGGGCTTGAACCCCAGAGCCCTGGGTTTGAGCCACAAAGCCCAGAGTTTGAGTCTGAAAGTCCAGATTTTGAGTCCCAGAGTTCTGGGTTAGTGCCCCCAAGCCCTGAATTTGCACCCAGAAGCCCTGAGTCAGATTCTCAGAGCCCTGAGTTTGAACCACAAAGCCCTAGGTATGAGCCTCAAAGTCCTGGGTATGAATCCCAGAGCCCAGGGTATGGACCCCAAAACCCTGAGTTCAAAACCCAAAGCCCTGAATTTGAAGCTCAGAATTCTAAATTCCAGGAAGGTACAGAGATGCTTCTCAATACTGAGAAAAAGAATTCCCTGAGCATCCCCTTGGGAGTCCATCCCTTGGACTCCTTCACCCAGGGGTTTGGGGAACAGCCCACAGGGGACCTTCCCATAGGGCCACCTTTCGAGATGCCCACAGGGGCCCTGTTGGCTACACCACAGTTTGAGATGCTCCAGAATCCCCTGGGCCTGACAGGGACTCTGCGAGGTCCAGGCCGCAGGGGTGGCCGGGCCAGGGGTGGGCAGGGCCCTCGGCCTAACATCTGTGGCATCTGTGGGAAGAGCTTTGGCCGGGGCTCCACCCTTATCCAGCACCAGCGCATCCATACGGGTGAAAAGCCCTATAAATGTGAGGTCTGTAGCAAGGCCTTCTCCCAGAGCTCTGACCTCATCAAACACCAGCGTACCCACACAGGAGAGCGGCCCTACAAGTGTCCCCGTTGTGGCAAGGCCTTCGCTGACAGCTCTTACCTGCTTCGCCACCAGCGCACTCACTCTGGTCAGAAGCCCTACAAGTGCCCACACTGTGGCAAGGCCTTCGGAGACAGCTCCTACCTCTTGCGGCACCAGCGCACTCACAGCCATGAGCGGCCCTACAGCTGCCCCGAGTGCGGCAAATGCTACAGCCAGAACTCATCCCTGCGTAGTCACCAGAGAGTGCACACTGGGCAGAGGCCTTTCAGCTGTGGCATCTGTGGCAAGAGCTTCTCCCAGCGATCGGCACTTATACCCCATGCCCGCAGCCATGCCCGTGAGAAGCCTTTCAAGTGCCCTGAGTGCGGCAAGCGCTTTGGTCAGAGCTCTGTGCTGGCCATTCATGCACGCACCCACCTGCCGGGCCGTACCTACAGCTGCCCAGATTGTGGCAAGACCTTCAATCGCTCTTCTACGCTGATTCAGCACCAGCGTTCTCACACAGGCGAGAGGCCCTATAGATGTGCTGTGTGTGGCAAGGGCTTCTGCCGGTCTTCAACGCTGCTGCAGCATCACCGAGTCCACAGTGGGGAGCGGCCCTACAAGTGCGATGACTGTGGAAAAGCCTTCTCACAGAGCTCCGACCTCATCCGCCACCAGCGGACCCACGCTGCTGGCCGTCGCTGATCTGGGGCCCTGTCAGGGGCAGGCCTGTGGTGGTTGGAAGAGGTGGGGACAGGGAGCTAGACGAATCTTTAGAATAGTGGAAAAGCTGGAGGAGAAAAGAGGAGTTGAGGATTCTAGGAGGAGAGGGGCTAGGGTGGAGGAAGTTTCGTGCCCTGGAGACTTAAGGGAAATGGGTAATGGAAAGGGGTTGGAGGGAGGCCAAATAGGCAGCAGGAGGCTCTGGGAGAATCCAGAAAGAGGTCAACAGAGAGCTGGCCTCAGCAGTAGCCTGCTCCTTGGTGGATGCCTGCTTGGCAAAGTGCTGGAGGGGGGAGGGGGGAGGGGAGGGCTTCTTAAGAGTGGGTTAGCTTAGATCAGTAGCTGCTGAGACCCTTGTTGAGTCAGGAAGGGGTTAGGGTAGGTGGGGTGAGGAGTAAAGCCCAGAGTGGGGCCTGGGCCTCAGTGCAAACCCAGCCTCCCTTGTCTTCCTCAGGCTTTTTGAACCCCTGAATTTGAGTTCAATAAAAACCTTTATGTGCTAAAAGAAATCTGTCCTTAACGTGTGCATTTGCAGTGTCCTGGGCAGTGGGAGACACCAGGTCAAAACTACCAGCAGTCAGTGCAGCTATAGAGCTCTGCCTGGGAAGTGCTTTTATAGTCAGTGTTTCACTATAACCTTATCACGGGCTCAGGAGACACAACTTGCCCATATCTGCCCAAGTTCATCTTCCATGCTTTGAATGCTGCAGATACAGAGGGCTTATTGTGGGTTTGAGAAAGCCCTTCAACTTTGTTGATATACCTCTTCCCAAACATGAAGTGTCTGCCCTTGGGCCAGAAAGCAGACTCATTCTCATATCCAGGCATGGAGCCTGTGTACCTTTTCTCCCTGGCTTCCACCACCTAGCTGTGCCCTTCTCCCTCCCCGCAACCCAGCTGCAACCTCTTGCCACCATTCTGGGCAGACCCTGACCCTGACCAGAACCACAGGTTCCAACTCCACCCATAGGGGTTCATTGTATTGGACCCAGTGCAAGAATTGGATGTCAGCTTTTTTTTTTTTTTTAAGATTTTATTTATTAATCTTTAGAGGGGAAGGGAAGGAGAGAGGGAGAGAAACATCAATGTACGGTTGCCTTTCGTGCATCCCCTGCTGGGAACTGGCCTGCAGGGAACCAGCCTGCAACCCAGGCATGTGCCCTGACTGGGAATCGAGCCGAGATTGTCTGGTTCGCAGGCCCGCGCTCAATCCACTGAGCTACACCAGCCAGGGCTGGATGTCAGCTTTTAAGATCCTCTGACCAGAATGGCCTGATTTTCTGATTTGCTACAGCTCTGCCTCCTTTTTTTAGGACTCTTGGACCTTTTGGTGGGAGCACTCTCTTACCACCCCACCTTTATCTTACTTTCATCTGAGCCTCAGCTCTCCTAACAGTTGGCTCCTCAGGAAAGAATGGGAAGTTGGTGTCATTAGTGATTCTGGGGGGTTCTGGGGTGTGGCCTGATAGTGTCCTGTGAAAGTTTGTTTATTCTATTTCACAGATTGGGAAAGTGGAGGTCACAGGGCTAAGTGACCTGCTCAGAGTCATTCCATGACTAAGAGGCAGATCAGACATTTAGACCTCATGGCTCGGCTTCCCCTGCCCCCAGGAACTTTGCCTCAAGAGACCTTATAGTTGTAGCTCTATGAGAGCTCATGGGCCTTAGGATACTGACATTACCCCCAGCCCTATGGCCATCCTCGGGGCCTTATAACTTGTCAAGGGCAAATCACTTCTCTAAGCACATTTCTTCCTCTTTTAAAAAATATTTTATTTATTTTTAGAGAGAGGGGAAGGGAGGAGGGAAGAGAGGGAGAGAAACATCAATGTGTGGTTGCCTCTTGAGCACCCCCCCCCCACTAGGTACCTGGCCTGCAACCCAAGTATGTGCCCTGACTGGAAACTGCACCCATGACCCTTTGGTTTGCAGGCTGGCAGTCCACTGAGCTACACCAGCCAGGGCCAAGCACATTTAAAATATATATATTAAAATTTTTTATTTATTGATTTTAGAGAGAGAGGAAAGGAGAGAGAAATAGAAGCACTGATTTGTTGTACCACTTGTCTATGCACTCATTGGTTGCTTCTTGTACGTGCCCTGATCAAACCTGCAACCTTGGAGTATCAGGATGACACTCTAACCAACTGAGCTACCATGCCAGGGCCTAAGCAACTTTCAGTCTGGCCTCTCGTGGTCTGCAAGCCTGGAAGAGACCTTAAGAATCGTGTAGTTCAATAGACTTAGGCTGCGTTTAGTGGTTTTGGGAAGTAGAACACTTTTAAAGTAAAATTTCAGTCTTTTAAAGACCTTTGCAAATTTTATACACATTCTAATATAGATACTCTGCTACACAAATTTTTAAAATACTCCCACATTTAATATATAGGGCCCAGCACAAATAATACCTTTTTAATTATAAAATCGTTTATTACAAAATCATAAGCATGTGATTCTGCAACATAACAATATCGTGCTCAAGCACACCACATGACATTTTAGGTGAAATGTTCACATTAAAACTATAAATCAGCCCTGGCTGGTGTAGCTCAGTGGATTGAGCAAGGGCCTACGAACCATACGATCGCGGTTCGATTCCCAGTCAGGGCACATGCCTAGGTTGCAGGCCGGTTCCCAGCAGGGGACTCATGAGAGGCAACCATACATTGATATTTCTCTCCTTCTCTCCTTCCCTTCCCCTCTAAAGATAAATAAATAAAATATTTTAAAAAAACTATAAATCACTATGTCCATATGATTACCCTATCAACCCCACTCAAGCAGGCCTTACTTCTGCTGGACCCTGTAGTTTGTATATGTAAGTATATACGCAGAACTGCACCTGGCTACCTGAAATGATACCACATTTGTAGACTTCAACATTTGTTTCAATTATACAAATTTAATTTTCATATTTTAGAGTTGAATGTTTTTTCAGCCTTCAAACATGTTCATAGGCCCTTGAAAGCTGGGGAACCCTGGGCACAGTGCCTGTGGTGCTTAATGGATAAAGTAGCTTGTAGGCGCAGAACATCAGTATGTAAAAGCTCATCAAATGAGGATGGTGACTCAGCTGCTCAGTCCCCACTCCTTACTTCCATGACAATCCTGAGGTACCTCTAGATGCCAGGCTGGGCAGACCAAACCCAGAAAGAGCATGTGTCTTCTCCGAGATCACGGTGGAAGAACTAATAATGGAAGAGGGAAGAACTCCTAACACAAGATGTCTTGATTTGTGGTGCAGGATGCTGCTTTTACCACATCGTCCTGCTCACCTAAACAACCATTTCTATCTACCACCGATAGGCTCGGAACAGTGCTCAGCAGTTTACAAGTGTTATCTCATTTAAGCTCACACCAACTCTGAAGTATACTCATTACACACGGTGGAGCGAGCATAGGCTTACAGTTGTGAGTACATGGAACGGAGTTTATTTTTGTATTATTAATTATTATTTTCCATTAGAACAACTGTAAACCTACTTTGGCCCCTGCCCTCACACAGTCATTATTCCTTTCTTACAGGTGAAGAAGTGAGTCCCATAGAGGAGAAGTAACCGGCCCACAACACATAGCAGAGCCCGGATTCAAGCCTCGGGCTGACTGGGTTTGACCACTTTACTAACAATACTAAGATGTTACTTTTTCACTGCCTTTCTCCCATGAGGACAGTGTTTCCTAGAGGTTGCCTGACTTGTCATGGCAGATGTCATCACTCCGATGGCTTGTGTGGAATGTAGGCTTGGATGTTATGTTTTAAATTTCTCTCTCCATTTCAATTTCTTCTTTTTTAAAATTAATTTTATTGATTATGCCATTATAGTTGTTCTATTTACCCCCTTCATTCCCTTTCACCCTGCACCTCCTCCCCCCACCATTTCCCCCTTTAGTTTATGACCACGTCTCAAGTTCTTTAGACTCTACATTTCCCATACTATTCTTGCCCTCCCCCCTATTTTTTACCTACCGTCTGTGCTACTTATTCTCTGTACCTTCTCCTCCTCCCACTCCCCTGTTGCTAACCCTCCATGAGACCTCCATTTCTTTGGTTCTGCTTCTGATCTAGCTGTCCTCTTAGTTTGCTTTTGTTTTAGGTGTGGTTCTTAATAACTGTGAGTTTGCTGTCCTTTCACTGTTCATATTTTTTGTCTTCTTTTTCTTAGATAAGTCCCTTTAACATTTCATATAATAAGGGCTTGGTGATGATGAACTCCTTGAACTTGACCTTATCTGAGAAGCACTTTATCTGTCCTTCCATTCTAAATGGAAGCTTTGCTGGATAGAGCAATCTTGGTTGTAGGTCTTTGGATTCTTCTTGGTTATAGGACTTGGAATACTTCTTTCCAGCCCCTTCTTGCCTATAAGGTCTCTTTTGAGAAATCACCTGACAGTCTGATGGGAACTCCTTTGTAGGTGATTGTCCCCTTAGCTCTTGCTGCTTCTAGGATTCTCTTCTTCATTTAATCTTGGTTAATTTAATTATGATGTGCCTTGGTGTGTTTCTTCTTGGGTCCAACTTCTTTGGGACTCTCTGAGCTTCCTGGACTTCCTGGAAGTCTATTTCCTTTGCCAGCTTGGGGAAGTTCTCCTTTATTATTTGTTCAAATAAGTTTTCCACTCATGGCTGTTCCTCTTCCCCTTCTGGTACCTCTATACTTTGGATGTTGGAATGTTTAAAGCTGTCTGCTAAGCAGCTAAGCAGCTAAGCAGCTAAAGCAGCTAAGCCTCTCCTCATTTTTTTGAATTCTTGTTTCTTCATTCTTTTATGTTTGGTTGTTTTTTTCTTCCTTCTGGTTCACTCCCTTGATTTGAGTCCCAGTTTCCTTTCCATCACTATTGCTTTCCTGTGCATTTCCCTTCATTTCACTTAATTTAGCATCCATGTGTTCCTCTAATTTGTGACTAAAATCAACCAGTTCTGTGAGCATCCTGATCACCAGTGTTTTGAACTGTGCATCTGATAGATTGGCTATTTCTTGGTCACTTAGAGTTATGGGCTCTGGGTCTTTGAGTTCTTCTTGAGTCATGTTTTGGTCTGTTCGCACCTGTTACATATGAGGAGCAGAGCATTAGGTGTTCACCAGGGAGGGGCCACCCAGGTTGCTGAGTTGTGACGCTGTATGTGGGGGTGTGGTCAGAGAGGGAGCAATAGCGGTCCCCTCTGCTGCTTCCTGCTGCTGGGGCCTGTGTGGTCTGTCTCACTGCTGGTTCCTTTGCTTGGTTTATCTGCACATGAATGTATGACCGCAGTCAGCCAGCGGCCTTGCAGCCTCACTGGGTCTGCCTGTCGCAACCCCACACCTGGGATCTGCCAACCACTGCCCACATGCCTGGGTCAGTCCAGCAGAGTTTTCCTGCATGACCCTGCTCTGCCAGTCGATGGCTCTGCCCCTCTTACCGACCTGGCTGAAGGGTTCGTTGTTGTCGGACTTCCGTATAGTTCAATTTTCTGTGTTTTGGCTGCGTTTTTTATTACTAAAATTTTGTTATCTTTAAACTTGGT